TATGATTTAATATGATTGGTGATTGTATAGAAAATTTATATTATATGCTAATAGTGTAGGAAAGTTATATTATATATGAGTTTATATAGTGCAGTGTACGTAACTAGCGCCAACGTTAGAGAAACGGGATTAGTCGCTAAGAAGGGAGACGACATCCCGAAACCAGAATTCATCAGCCTCTTCGTCTTCAGAAATGCGAGACAGGACTTAAGCAGAACGCTGGCGATTTTTCAGGCCCAAAAGAGGTATTCGCACTCGGGCCTGGAAACTCATGGGACAACAAGATGACCTGGGTGGTTAGGTCTTCTAAATATGATGACGCATCAGCCGAGGCCATCAAGCAGAGCGGTCACATTCTGCATTACCGGTTCGGGAAAATTCCCGTTCACGGTCTCAGAAGGGGGCCGGCAGAGGCGGCGGATACCATATCGGGGGCGGTTGGTCAGGAGAAACCTCTAGACACCGCTACAAAAGTGGTCAAGAGGATGAGCGATGAGGAACCACTCTCTGGAGGGTATGAAACACCTGAGGAAGGGCGACCCCAATCGGTAAAAACGATGGATGAGATGATTGAAGACCTGTAGCTAACCCTTCGCATTCTGAAAGAGCCGTCTCAAGAGGAAGATGCTCTGATGGCAGGGGAAGATCCTGTCTCGGCACCCAGAAGGGATGAAGGGTAAGGGTACCAGGATGGCTCAGGTGAACCCCTACCATGCTAGGGCGGCATCCGTCGTCCTGGCAAGGATGTTCACGAAACAACATCTGGGTATAGCTATGGTGCAAGAAGCCTTGATATATAGAGAGAAAATCAATTATGTTAAGTATTATGTGTCACCTTTAGAGAACATGACAAGGGATCTCACACCTGTGAAGGCATGTTTCAATACTCGAGGCAAAGGCATAGAGATGGTACTGGAATCGGCATACTTTCCGGGATACGGGGCATTTGCACGACCACCGGAAGTGGAAAAGGTGGTGGAGCACTTCAGCAAAAAGAAGTGGCCACTAATCATGTACTGGAAAGGATGGGAGGGCCATGGTCGATTAATTTGAGTCGAACTGACCCCTTAGCAGACCAGGAAGCGCAACGACGCACCATGGTGGACCTGAAGGTTAGAGAACCTTAGGGGCGAGTTTCGCAGGCTTTTCATTAAAGCCAAGCGAGAAGGGACCTGCGGTTGGTATAGGGTCTTTCTTCCTAAGTATTGAAGGGGAGACATGGCTACAAGGACATTAGAACAAAATTAGATGACGCCCTGTGCGTTTCTGGACATTGTGCAGGCCCACGATAACACCTCGCACGAGGCGATAGAGAGGGCCTTGGGGAGCAGGGGCGTGGACACCACGACGTCGCTCTGGATGTCCAGGATGCTTAATATAAATGATGATACAAGGGTTGCAGAAACTGTAGTCGGGCGGGGCACGGTAATCTTCTGCACAGCTATAAAGCTCCAACTCAATCCTAGCAAGGCGACCCTAGTGCTCTTCACTAGAAAAAGAAAACTGGAGCGTCTGCGCACTATACAGGTGTGCAGGGAGACAGTAGAAAGGAAAACGGATATGAAATACGTTACCTCGGTGTGGTTTTTGACAGCGGGCTTCTTTGGCGATCCACCCACATGATGGTGGTGCCACACTTTACATACGGGGCGGTTCCCTGGGGCAGAAAATTTACACTTGAGACAACAAAAAGGAACCTGAAATGTTTGCAGAGACTTGCATGCGTCTGCATCACTGGGACTATGACATGTCCAACCGCGGCAATGGAGGTGATTCTGGGAAAATCTAACTACATCTATTTGTCGAGTTGGAGGCGTAGGCGCCCATTCTAAGGTTAGTGAAAAATTGGATGGGACTGCTCGGAGATGAAGATCGGGAAGGTCCTACCGGCCAGGATAATCGCATCCAAGAGACGACATGGTTAGAAGATATACCTACGAGAAAAAACTCGTTGTTGAGCGACAGAAGAAACTATAAGGAAAATTTTGCGAGTTAACCGGTCGGGTCACATGCCATAGTGTGGTACACGGATGGATCAAAGACCTGCCAAGAACCAAATTCACTGAACCCATGGTCGGATAGTCAGTCTGCTATCAGAGCCTTGAGCTCTTTTTCATTATCCTCTGAAGTAGTATAAGCTCTCAACATATTGGGTAGGTGCAACCGAGTCACACTGTGCTGGATGCCTGGACATGTAGACGTAGAAGGAAACGAGGCGGCAAACGCGTTGGCGAGAAAGGGCGCAAGCACGCTTCTTTTTGGGCCAGAGCCCTTCTGTGGAATCGGACTACATGCGATTCGAGGAGAATCAAGAAAGGAAACGGAGAGTCAGCGTTTGGAGCTCTGGGGGTGCCTTCCACGACTTCGACAGGCTAAGGAACTTCTGGGAAATTATGACCAGGGGTGGTTTAGGAAAATAATAGGACTCGGCAGGAGCTAGGTGAGAGTCCTTACCGGGGTCTCAACGAGGCATTGTCGCCTTAGGGCTCACCCTAGAAGGCTTGGTCTAGGAATGAAGATGTGTGTGCTCATGCTGACGGAGCTGCGGTCTACCGGCCCTTCAAAGTTGTTTGAATTCATCAGGGGGGTGGGACTCGACAGGGTGTTGTAGGGCTTTCTCCCGCACTTAGCTGAAAGCACAATAGATCTATATTTTCTGGTCGCGGTGCACTTCTTCAACAATCTACAATGGCCCCTGCTGAATTTACGACATGACGACCCTTTTATTTTATTCACTTAAAATTTATAACAATTTAATTTATTTATGTTCTTTATTATTATTATTATTAATTCATTTATTAATTTATATAATTATTGTTCTTAAGATAAAAAAATCAAATATAATTTATATATTTAGGTTTAAACTTGTTAATATTAAATGTTAAGTCTTCAACTTAGCTGCACTGTGACAACTTTTATAATAGTAAAAAATGTATAAAATTTCAAATCATTTATACATATTACAAAGAGAAAAAAATTAAATTTACAATTGAAAAATATGAAAGTAAATTATATATGTGTAAGTTAATTTATTTATGCAAAGTGATTTAATTATACATAGTAGGAAATTTAAATATACATAATTAAACAAAGCTTAAGAGCGTACGTTAATATTTAAGAAAATATGTGAAAGAGTTATCAAAATTTTGTAAATTAAGTCAGGAGTGGAAAACCTTTTTTTGTAAGAAAGATCTCAGCATCACTCTCCCCCGAGATATAATGTAGTTAAAATAAAAGAGCAAAAAAATTGTATTGTAGTAACGAAATAAATTTAATGCTTAATTTTAGTATGAAGAATAAAAAATTGAAGTCAAAAATATACAAAATATAAGAAAAGTTTGTCTAACAGTTAGGATTATAAAATTTAATGTGAGATGAGCTTTTATGACCGTTTAGTTCCGAGCCAAAATGCTAAGTATAGGCTCTAAGTAGCCAATTGAAATAGAAGAATTTCGCCCATTAATATTGATTATAAAATGTTTCCTAAAGCTTCTAATGACTAACCCGAACTTTATCGACCCAAACGAAAGCATGTTGTTCAAATCTTTTGGAATGAAAACATTTTGTTTCGCCTCTCTAGGTACGGCCGGAATGACATTCCATCAAGTTTCGCGGAACCGCGTCATAACAGTGTCACATTCCGTTCGGCTGAGAATGATAAGGCTCGTATGAATTTTGCAAATACCGAGTAAATTCGTAAACTACGCAAAGAACTTAGATTCAAATTGTGAACCTTAATTCGTAGTTATTTTAGATGAAGTTCCAAATCGTGGGATTTATTTCTCGGCAAAAGTGCGCGCAACTGTTGACGCGGCCATCTCGAAAAACGATTGTCTATTGTTAATATGTATTAGTTACCAGAGGAAATCGGTAAAGGTCCTACCAAATCCATGTTGATGCGCTTGAATAGGCACGAAGGTACGCCAAATTTCTCGAATTGTGATTTCGTGTACCGATGTAATTTCGATGGCAAGCTAAGCAAATTCTAGTCCATTTCGAAACATCGAAATTCATCTTCGGCCAAAAATACTTATCTACTACAAGCTTACGGGAAGCACGAATTCCCGGGTAGGGAAAACTATGTAAATGTTGGAATATACTACGGCGCAAAGGGCTTGTGATGTAATGGTGATTTTGTGAGGTATGGACCTCACAAAACACATCCAATTGAGAAAGCGAAATTTTTGGAAATTTTAAATTCGAGGACGAGTCAGAAAACAGGATTTTCAATTGCTTATCAGTCTCCTGAGCTTTGGAAACCATTCTAAGATTTTTTAATTTTGTGTAAAATTTTTCTTTAAATTTGTGTAAAAATTTGTGTAAAATTGTATCAATGATAATAAATTCATTTTCCGTTGATTTGTAGCACAACACACAACACTCTTTAAAAAAAAATTTTTTTTTTTAAGTTTGTATCACACTTTTTTTTTTTGTTTAAAACAACATTCACCGTATAAGTTCAAAGTTTTAAATTTTAATTTGTGATTTTTTCGTTTTAAATTATTTATTTTTAAAGTTTTAAGTTGTTACCGCGAACCGAATTAAATAAATTATACAATAAACCGTTGTATACTTATTCAATGCGAACTATCTAACTTTTACCGATCCTACCGACTGCGCCAATTACGTATCGTATTAACACAGGTAGGAAAAAAAATGCGAATTTAGATTATCAAAAACACACTTTATTCAAAGATTTAATTAATTCACTTAACATAAGATTTATTCTGATTCTAATCGTTTTATTTCTATAGTATTTATACATATTTTATGTTAGTTCAGCAGTTTTTAGTTTAACAAAGAAATTATAAAAATTAGGTAACAGTATGTAATTTGAATATTTAGAATTGACAAAAATCTGTCAAAAGCAATAATGTAATACGATATACATATAACTTAAAGTATTTATGGGAACATTTTTATTTATTTATTTATTTATTTATTTTAGTATCAATTCACAAATATACATATAAAATCTTAAGATTAATGCAATACAACTATTTATTTTATAACTATGTATGCAAATTGATGATAAACTATACAGTAGTGTAAATAAACACTAGTGATGTATAGTATTATGCACCGATACTACCACATATTACTTATTATTCATACAAATTTTGTGGGGTGGGGTATATTTCTTGTTTTTTAAAATTACATTTACATTTATTTACTTAAAATAAATATTAATTGTTTTTTTTTTATTTGAATTTAATTAATTTACTATTTTAAACTTTTCTAATTGTGCAAGTACAAAAAGGGTAAACCGAGCAACATATATAATCTAGTATTATTTTAGACACCTTATTTTTATAAAACTCTTTATAACTACAATTGAAATATTTTTTTGTTATGTAATCTTTGAAAATTTCGATACCTTCTTTATTATCAATTCTTGAAATATGCATAGTATTTTCTCGGGATCCATGTCAGGGCGTACATTTATTACAGATCTACCATGAATATATATTGACTTTATGTAATTCTTATCGTAAACCACAGAAACATCACCAGAACAATTTGGGGAATATTTGTTAAAATTCTCCGAGACATTCAATTCTAAAAGATAAAAAAAAAAATATACGTTCAATTATTCATTTCAACTAAAAAAAAACTAAAAATTTTGCAAATGTCTTCCTTTTCCGCACTTATTATCGATTGCTTTAACAAACGAGTAAGAGCAGAAAAGAACATTTACGAGTTTTAAGAATTTTGGAGCAAATCCTCACTTAGTACTTCTTTCCAATGAAAGGAGACCAGTGAGGGAAAATTTTGTTTTTTTTTTTCATTAATGCAATGAAATTTCTAAATCTTTATAATCAAATGTCAATAACCAGTTTCTACACAATTTTGAAAATTTATTTAATGTGCTAGCTTCCTTAATTTCCTGCGGTAAATTATTGTAATATTTCGGAGCTAGAAAATCATAAGATTTTTGAAAGTGGGTTACTCTGCTTAAAGGAACACGAACTAAGTTTTGACTATTTATCCTTAGTCTATAAGAATTACAAAAGCGCGAAGGTAAGCGATTTTTACTTTTATAAAATTTAATTAAGCACTTATACGCAAAAAGATGTCTTAAGGGTAATAATGCTTGCGCTTGAAATAAAGGCCAGCAATGAAAAAGTCTTGATTTTCCATGAATGATCTTCAGTATACTTTTTTGCGCCAAAAAAACTGGCTCCAGCGTATTATAATAGGTACCTCCCCAGCTCGTTATGCCATATTGAAGTTTCGAGTAGACTAGAGCATAATAAATTTTTAAAAGCAGTTCAATTGAACAATAAATCTTTAAACAGTAGAATACACGAATACAATATAACATATAGTTGTGTAATTTGCTTATATGTGTTTTCCAATTTAATTTGTTATCAATAGTAACACCCAAATATTTATAGCTTTCTACGGTTTCAATTTCAAAACAATTGCCAGAACAATTACCGAAAAATTGGGTTCTAGATTGTTTACAATTTTCTTTATTACATATAAAACTAGAACATTCATTCGCATGAAAAGTGAAATTAAAATGTTGAGGTAGAATGGCTCTGAGATCATTTAATTTAAAGAACATTAATTTTGTTTTATTGCTAATATTAAGTTTATGGGACATAAACCATTTTCTAAGAAGAATCAAGTCTGATTCTATACTGCGTTGAAGTGTGGAAATATCTATTTCGTTATACGAAAGAGAACAATCATCAGCAAAACCAGTTATTTTCCCTTGAAAGGGTTGACTAAACAGAGAATTTATATAAATAAGAAATAACAAAGGTCCTAACACCGAGCCCTGTGGAACGCCTGAAGAGATGTTTTCAAAATTACTGTAAACGTTATCAATTTTTACTTTTTGTAATCTATTGGACAGATAAGAATCAAGAAAATCCAACATAAAACTTCTAAATCCAATATTTTCAAGTTTTTTAACAAGGATTCGGTGATCTATTGTGTCGAAAGCTTTTTTTATATCAATGAAAAGAGCAGCCGTATGTAACTTGTCATTTAGACCCGAGTATAGTTCCGAACATAATTTTAGTATGGCATCTTCAGTACATTTATTTTCTAAGAAACCAAACTGGTTTTTATCAAAAAAATCAATACTATAGAGGAAATTAAGCATTCTTTTTTTTATTACTTTTTCAAACAATTTTCCTATGCAAGGTAACAATGATATAGGCCTATAGTTCGCAACATCCAGTTTAGAACCCTTTTTGAAAAGAGGTATTACTTCCGCAATTTTGAGTGCAGATGGAAAAGTTCCACTATATACAGCCAAATTAAAAATGTAACTCAATACCGGACTTACAGCTCGATTAATTTTTTTCAATAATAAATTATTAACACAATCACTTGTACATGATTTTTTGTTATTTAATACTAATATAGCTTGATATACTTCTTCAGGTACTATATCTGTATAGCCAAATGAATTAAAATGCATATTTGTACCTAGCATATTAAGTACATTCGTTGTGCAATAACAATTATTTTGTTCTATATTATTTAAACTTGAAATTTTAGCTGAATTTACAAAAAAATTATTAAACTCATTTGCGATATCATTTTTGTTTGTAACTTTTTTGTCTCCAATTACAATTTCGTTGACCTGTGTATTCGCTGAGCTTTTGTTTAATATGTTATTTATAGTTTGCCATTCCAATTTAGAGTTACCGCTGTGCTTTGAAAGTTCAGAACTATAGTATAGATTACGCGCCTCTTTTATATTAATACTCAGTTCCTTGCAAAGATCTTTAAAAGAATTTCTTAATTCAACATTATCGGGCTGGTTTCTGCTTTTTAAACCTATTTTATTTTTATATTTTATTTTAGTTAAAAGTAAGTCTGTCATCCAAGGCTTAAGTTTCCTTTTATTTTTAGCTAAATTAAGCTCCCTATAACTGTTGGATATATGTGAATTTAATATTTCAATGAAACCAATATAATAACTTTATCCCAATTTTCCGAATCTAAAAGTCTGTTTAAACGGTAGAAGTTTATAATTCTAATTGGCTGGTTGTCTTTTTTATAGTCTGAATTAGGAACTTGAGATAACATATTCAAAATAACCATATTATGATCAGTTATACCTAATTTTAAGTTTTCACTCTCGAATTCCAAATAATTTAAATTATTAGAAGTTCTTAAAAAAATATGATCTATACATGTAGAACTAAAATTTGTAGTGCGAGTTGGTAACTCTACTAAGGAAGTTAACCCGTGGGACGACATCATGAGTAAATAATTATCTTTCACGCGAGTTTCTTTTAATAAGTCAATATTCATGTCTCCAATTACAATAAGATTTTTGTTTTTCTCTTTATTTAGAATATCGTCAAAATCATTCAGAAAAACAAAGTAATGGAGACCCGTGTTATTAAACTTGTAAACCGAAAAAATTGTGAATTTAATTCCCTCGAGATAACATGCTAGTTTGACTATATCAGCGGTACTTATAGAAATTGAGCTACAATTAGAAGATAAATCTTTTTTGGTGTATACAGCAACACCACCTGAACTATAATTGTTATTACAATTGCAGTGTAAATTGTAGCCGTCTATATTATAATTTTTTTCTTCTTCGCTGTAAATCCAAATTTCAGAAAGAATAATAATTAAAGGAGAATTTTCTAGAGATTGAAGGTGTAATAAAAAGGTATCAAAATTTTCTCTTAAGCTACGTATGTTTTGATGTAGGATTATAGGATTTTTAATTTTTTTGTATGGAAAGGAAACTGAAAGAGATGAATTCATTTTCTATAAAATTTTAGTACTATGTACTTACAAAATTTAAAAATTGATTTCGAAAAAATTATATGTTATCCAAATCGCTGAGATTTCTCACAACGATTGGTTCGTCTCCTTCAGTTTTCCTTATTAAAATTTTAGAATTCTTTATCCAAACATATTTAATTTTATTATTTCTTTTTAATTCAATGGCAGCCTTGTATAAATACCTTTTCCTACTGGTTAAACTTTGATTAATAAATATTTTCTTACCTTGATAAGAAATGCTCTTTTTTAACTCATTTTTCTTCTTCAAAACCTGTTGTTGCACGTCATGCGTATTAAAATCCACTCTCATGATGCTCGTAGGCGCTGAATTTGAATTGTTCTCACCTCGTCTTTTTATTTTCCAGGAGCTACATTTTTTAATGTCATCACAATTTATAGTAACATTAAGGCTTGAACTCAATACTCCGGCCGCTGTTTCGATGGAGTTTGGATTTTCGAGTTCCGGCAGGTTGACTATATCAATGGATGAAGACAACATTGATTGTTCAAAATATTCAACTTTGTTTTCTAGGACGTTGATTTTTTTCTTTAAACTATTGTTTTCATGTTCAAGTTGTAATATTTTTTCTACATACGTCTCGTGAATACGTTCCATATTCTTTACAGCTTCAATGATAATATCTAATTTATTATTCTCGGCCAAACTAGACGAACCACTCTGTTGTATGCTGTCAGATGCCTTTACAAAACCTGGCAGGAGATTACGCAATGTTGAGTTTGACGAGCTTTTTGGTGTACTATTGCACTTATCACATATTTGTGAATTCTGTGATGCACTGCTTACACATGTTAAATGGTATAAAATTTTACATTTTTTACATTCGAATGTTTTATGTAATCTATCAATAATTTTTTTGTTGCATTTTCCACACGACATTTTAATATATGAAATTTAGAGCGTTTAGTGAAAAATAAAATTTTGTTTCTTCTTTTTTAACTTTTTTTTCTTTTCTTTTATTTTTTTTTTTTTTTTTTTTTTTATTTTTCCAAAGTTTGGTTTTTTAATGATTCTGTCTAATATTGTACTTGTATTTAGAAATTCGCCTTTTATTATTGAATAATAAGCAAATTTATATCGAAAAATAAAATTTATTTTTTTTTTTTTTCTTTTCTTTTTTTTTATAATCAAAAAAAATTTTAATTAATTAAATTGAAAATACGGATAAATTGAACTTAACGTGCTCACCCCACAATGAACAAATTAAGAATATTGACATAATTATTTATTTTAAAAACATATGCCTAGAACATGCGACTTTAGTTGGCTGTTAAAATACATAGTCTGGGGTAATAATTGTAATATGATTTAATATGATTGGTGATTGTATAGAAAATTTATATTATATGCTAATAGTGTAGGAAAGTTATATTATATATGAGTTTATATAGTGCAGTGTACGTAACTAGCGCCAACGTTAGAGAAACGGGATTAGTCGCTAAGAAGGGAGACGACATCCCGAAACCAGAATTCATCAGCCTCTTCGTCTTCAGAAGTGCGAGACAGGACTTAAGCAGAACGCTGGCGATTTTTCAGGCCCAAAATAGAGGTATTCGCACTCGGGCCTGGAAACTCATGGGACAACAAGATGACCTGGGTGGTTAGGTCTTCTAAATATGATGACGCATCAGCCGAGGCCATCAAGCAGAGCGGTCACATTCTGCATTACCGGTTCGGGAAAATTCCCGTTCACGGTCTCAGAAGGGGGCCGGCAGAGGCGGCGGATACCATATCGGGGGCGGTTGGTCAGGAGAAACCTCTAGATACCGCTACAAAAGTGGTCAAGAGGATGAGCGATGAGGAACCACTCTCTGGAGGGTATGAAACACCTGAGGAAGGGCGACCCCAATCGGTAAAAACGATGGATGAGATGATTGAAGACCTGTAGCTAACCCTTCGCATTCTGAAAGAGCCGTCTCAAGAGGAAGATGCTCTGATGGCAGGGGAAGATCCTGTCTCGGCACCCAGAAGGGATGAAGGGTAAGGGTACCAGGATGGCTCAGGTGAACCCCTACCATGCTAGGGCGGCATCCGTCGTCCTGGCAAGGATGTTCACGAAACAACATCTGGGTATAGCTATGGTGCAAGAAGCCTTGATATATAGAGAGAAAATCAATTATGTTAAGTGTTATGTGTTACCTTTAGAGAACATGACAAGGGATCTCACACCTGTGAAGGCATGTTTCAATACTCGAGGCAAAGGCATAGAGATGGTACTGGAATCGGCATACTTTCCGGGATACGGGGCATTTGCACGACCACCGGAAGTGGAAAAGGTGGTGGAGCACTTCAGCAAAAAGAAGTGGCCACTAATCATGTACTGGAAAGGATGGGAGGGCCATGGTCGAGTAATTTGAGTCGAACTGACCCCTTAGCAGACCAGGAAGCGCAACGACGCACCATGGTGGACCTGAAGGTTAGAGAACCTTAGGGGCGAGTTTCGCAGGCTTTTCATTAAAGCCAAGCGAGAAGGGACCTGCGGTTGGTATAGGGTCTTTCTTCCTAAGTATTGAAGGGGAGACATGGCTACAAGGACATTAGAACAAAATTAGATGACGCCCTGTGCGTTTCTGGACATTGTGCAGGCCCACGATAACACCTCGCACGAGGCGATAGAGAGGGCCTTGGGGAGCAGGGGCGTGGACACCACGACGTCGCTCTGGATGTCCAGGATGCTTAATATAAATGATGATACAAGGGTTGCAGAAACTGTAGTCGGGCGGGGCACGGTAATCTTCTGCACAGCTATAGAGCTCCAACTTAATCCTAGCAAGGCGACCCTAGTGCTCTTCACTAGAAAAAGAAAACTGGAGCGTCTGCGCACTATACAGGTGTGCAGGGAGACAGTAGAAAGGAAAACGGATATGAAATACGTTACCTCGGTGTGGTTTTTGACAGCGGGCTTCTTTGGCGATCCACCCACATGATGGTGGTGCCACACTTTACATACGGGGCGGTTCCCTGGGGCAGAAAATTTACACTTGAGACAACAAAAAGGAACCTGAAATGTTTGCAGAGACTTGCATGCGTCTGCATCACTGGGACTATGACATGTCCAACCGCGGCAATGGAGGTGATTCTGGGAAAATCTAACTACATCTATTTGTCGAGTTGGAGGCGTAGGCGCCCATTCTAAGGTTAGTGAAAAATTGGATGGGACTGCTCGGAGATGGAGATCGGGAAGGTCCTACCGGCCAGGATAATCGCATCCAAGAGACGACATGGTTAGAAGATATACCTACGAGAAAAAACTCGTTGTTGAGCGACAGAAGAAACTATAAGGAAAATTTTGCGAGTTAACCGGTCGGGTCACATGCCATAGTGTGGTACACGGATGGATCAAAGACCTGCCAAGAACCAAATTCACTGAACCCATGGTCGGATAGTCAGTCTGCTATCAGAGCCTTGAGCTCTTTTTCATTATCCTCTGAAGTAGTATAAGCTCTCAACATATTGGGTAGGTGCAACCGAGTCACACTGTGCTGGATGCCTGGACATGTGGACGTAGAAGGAAACGAGGCGGCAAACGCGTTGGCGAGAAAGGGCGCAAGCACGCTTCTTTTTGGGCCAGAGCCCTTCTGTGGAATCGGACTACATGCGATTCGAGGAGAATCAAGAAAGGAAACGGAGAGTCAGCGTTTGGAGCTCTGGGGGTGCCTTCCACGACTTCGACAGGCTAAGGAACTTCTGGGAAATTATGACCAGGGGTGGTTTAGGAAAATAATAGGACTCGGCAGGAGCTAGGTGAGAGTCCTTACCGGGGTCTCAACGAGGCATTGTCGCCTTAGGGCTCACCCTAGAAGGCTTGGTCTAGGAATGAAGATGTGTGTGCTCATGCTGACGGAGCTGCGGTCTACCGGCCCTTCAAAGTTGTTTGAACTCATCAGGGGGGTGGGTCTCGACAGGGTGTTGTAGGGCTTTCTCCCGCACTTAGCTGAAAGCACAATAGATCTATATTTTCTGGTCGCGGTGCACTTCTTCAACAATCTACAATGGCCTCTGCTGAATTTACGACATGACGACCCTTTTATTTTATTCACTTAAAATTTATAACAATTTAATTTATTTATGTTCTTTATTATTATTATTATTATTATTATTAATTCATTTATTAATTTATATAATTATTGTTCTTAAGATAAAAACATCAAATATAATTTATATATTTAGGTTTAAACTTGTTAATATTAAATGTTAAGTCTTCAACTTAGCTGCACTGTGACAACTTTTATAATAGTAAAAAATGTATAAAATTTCAAATCATTTATACATATTACAAAGAGAAAAAAATTAAATTTACAATTGAAAAATATGAAAGTAAATTATATATGTGTAAGTTAATTTATTTATGCAAAGTGATTTAATTATACATAGTAGGAAATTTAAATATACATAATTAAGCAAAGCTTAAGAGCTTACGTTAATATTTAAGAAAATATGTGAAAGAGTTATCAAAATTTTGTAAATTAAGTCAGGAGTGGAAAACCTTTTTTTGTAAGAAAGATCTCAGCATCACTCTCCCCCGAGATATAATGTAGTTAAAATAAAAGAGCAAAAAAATTGTATTGTAGTAACGAAATAAATTTAATGCTTAATTTTAGTATGAAGAATAAAAAATTGAAGTCAAAAATATACAAAATATAAGAAAAGTTTGTCTAACAGTTAGGATTATAAAATTTAATGTGAGATGAGCTTTTATGACCGTTTAGTTCCGAGCCAAAATGCTAAGTATAGGCTCTAAGTAGTCAATTGAAATAGAAGAATTTCGCCCATTAATATTGATTATAAAATGTTTCCTAAAGCTTCTAATGACTAACCCGAACTTTATCAACCCAAACGAAAGCATGTTGTTCAAATCTTTTGGAATGAAAACATTTTTTTTCGCCTCTCTAGGTACGGCCGGAATGACATTCCATCAAGTTTCGCGGAACCGCGTCATAACAGTGTCACATTCCGTTCGGCTGAGAATGATAAGGCTCGTATGAATTTTGCAAATACCGAGAAAATTCGTAAACTACGCAAAGAACTTAGATTCAAATTGTGAACCTTAATTCGTAGTTATTTTAGATGAAGTTCCAAATCGTGGGATTTATTTCTCGGCAAAAGTGCGCGCAACTGTTGACGCGGCCATCTCGAAAAACGATTGTCTATTGTTAATATGTATTAGTTGCCAGAGGAAATCGGTAAAGGTCCTACCAAATCCATGTTGATACGCTTGAATAGGCACGAAGGTACGCCAAATTTCTCGAATTGTGATTTCGTGTACCGATGTAATTTCGATGGCAAGCTAAGCAAATTCTAGTCCATTTCGAAACATCGAAATTCATCTTCGGCCAAAAATACTTATCTACTACAAGCTTACGGGAAGCACGAATTCCCGGGTAGGGAAAACTATGTAAATGTTGGAATATACTACGGCGCAAAGGGCTTGTGATGTAATGGTGATTTTGTGAGGTAGAGACCTCACAAAACACATCCAATTCAGAAAGCGAAATTTTTGGAAATTTTAAATTCGAGGACGAGTCAGAAAACAGGATTTTCAATTGCTTATCAGTCTCCTGAGCTTTGGAAACCATTCTAAGATAGACAGTGAATTTTCCAGGAGATAATTCACGTTTTTCGACGAAATACCGAAAATGTTTAATTAGCTGAATAAATAGAAAGTAGCTTTTTCGAAATAAACGAGAGTGGCTCCCTGGTGTTACCATGCTGCTGCTGTAAAACAGCGCTGACGGCAATATTACAAGCATCCGTACCGATCCTAAAAAAGTGCGCCAAAGAAGTGATTTTAGCAAGAGCGTCCTTTACCGCCGTAAACGCGTCATTGAAACTTTCAGACCAACTTAAATTCTTGGCAGCTTTTGTTTTTTTAAGTAACTATGAAAGATG